CTCGGCGCCGGCAGGTAAGGCGAAGGCGGCGGGGCGAAGCCAGGGAGGGCGAGAGGAGAGCGAGAGGGCGAAAGGAGAGCGAGAGGAGAGCGAGAAGAGAGCGAGAGGGCGAGGGGAGGGGCCGAAGGTGGGGAAGCTCAGTGGAAACGAGGGAAGCTCGAGCAAAGCGAGATTTGCTGCGGGGGGGGGGGCCGGAACAAAAAACAACGACGGGACAAGTCTGGCTCAAGGCGCCGGACGGTGAGACAATCGGGCGAGGGCGAGGGCGGGGGGGAGGAAAAAAAAAAGAGGACGAGGAGGAGGAGGAGGAGGAGGAAGAGTATGAGCATGACCATGTGCCCGAGTCAACGAGTGCCAAACAACTGTGAGCAAATTACACATGGCGACCACGAGCAACCTTCTCGGCATCAACCCCTGCATATTCGATCTAGGCTTTCAACCTGGTGAGAGCAGGGGCCGAGGTGCACATTTGGCCGAGCCTCACGAAATTAGAACTCGCAGAACACCCCCAACATTTGCAATACCAGAGCTGCAGATTACTCTTGTACTGCAAGTCATGGAGGTCGTGGACCCACTCTCCAGCAATGTGTACCTTAGGTAGTGGGCGTCTGTAAAGAATGGTGCCGTTATAACTGAAGGATTAATCTATGGTGTTCCGCCAGGCTACAGCTGCCCCTCTCAACGCCGAAACCCCTCATCTCTGGCAACGCCTGGTGCTATCGTCCAGACAGTGGGAGGTATTGAAAAAAGAAAGAGAAGGACTCAGTAGACGGAGGACGGACCACGGACGACAGTTCCCTTTTTTCCTCGACGAGCAATGCATCGGCAGCGAAGGTGCCAAGTCATGAACGCCCAGGAACCCATGCGAACAAAGCAAGCACGTCGTTCGCATGTGAGAACTGACTGGCGGGCGTCGACAGGCAGGAGGGCTTGGCAAGCAGCCATGCTAGCAACGACATGAACAGAAGCATGTACAGAGATAAACCATCTTTCGGATGGCCTCCTGGTGATGGCGGCCATCATGGCGACTTCGTCGTGGTGACGAAGGACCATGAGAACTGCGATCAAAGCGGGGTCCCCGATTTGCTGCACGGAGACTTGACCCGCGGACTCCCACAAATGACGATCCGAACCCTCGGGAACGACCCACCCCCTACGAAACCACCCCTTCACACTTGTCTCGCAGGCCGAGGCGCAAATGACAACGGCCCAGCAGGCAAGCACAAGGGCACGGAGCTCCCTGCGAGGCACGGACTGGCGAGGGCCAGCTCGCCACGGACGGCGACCTGCCGCCCGCGGCCCCCGGGGCCCGGGGAGGACCACCCCTCGCCCGACCCCGCGAAACTCATGGCTCGACGCGCCCTCCCCGCCAGAGGCACCCCCGAAAAGAATGACGGTCCTCGAGGGGCACCTTCGCCCAGAAGTCCCAACTCGCACGCGTGATCAGCACCCTCGACCGCCCAATCTTCTGCGCGAGTTGGCTCCGGCACCGACACCCAATCACGTCACTGGGGGTCGCGCCTCTGAGTCAGGAGGTCGGCTCCATGCTGGCCTGGGCCACCGCCTGACTGATCAACTCACCCGTGGCCATGCGCCACGTTCCCGTTATCTGCCGCGCAGGCACAAGTCCGATGGAGAGGGGCCACGGGCCCCCTCGCGCAGCGACTGCAAAGTTCCGACCCCGCGAACCTGGGAATATTTGCATTTTCCCTCGCCAAGAGCCCCCCATGGCAACTGAGCGTCGCAGACGAGAAACAATTATCCTTCGGGGGCGCCTCACCCACATGTCATGTCTCAGAAGGACACGGCACGACTAGCAATCGGAGCCATCATCCAGCCGAGCTCCGCGGCAGCGCCCGCTTGCCTTCGATCACTGCCCAGCCGCCAACATGCCAGCGAAGTCCCGCGGAAATCCATCGCGAGCGTCGAATGCACGCGCGCCTGTCTACACGTGACCGTCGAACCCCCAGTCGCCGCCCGCCGCGACGCGCGGCCCCACCGCGGTCTGAGCCGTCGCCTCATCGACTCCCCAGCCCCGGCCTGCGCCCACCAAATGAAAGACGACCGCCGGCCCGGACCCCCGCGCCTGCCCAGGCAGATGATGGGGCGACGCGGGGCCGACCTGAGCTGCGGCTTCGCCCACCCGTCGAACCCTGCGACGCCGGCCAGGGTGATCGCGCCACATTTGAAGCCACATTTCCAAAGATTACACTGGCAACTGGGCGCAAGGCCCCCGGCCGGGAGCGCGCAGCTGGAGCTGCAAGACATCGCCCCCACGTCGCGGCAGCACACGAACGCCCCGGTCGCCGCCGCGCTCGCAGAATCCCCTGTGCGAACGCGCCGCAGACGCAGAAGCCGCGCGCCCCTGCCGCTCGCGCACCTGGGCCCCCATGCCCCGCCGTCGCACTGCAGCGCGCGGCTGCTCGAGCGAAGCGCCTGACCTCGGAGCTCAGACCCCGGCGCCCGAGGCCCCGCGCCCCCCGCGCGGCTCGAGCAACCCTCCTGGAACGGGTGGCGTCTACTCCGAAAAGCCCGGCCTGGACCTGCGGCTCGACCTGATACACGGCACGCTCGACCGCCATGTTCACCCATTTCGCGTCGGCCACGTCGGAGCAGGCCGCCGCTGACTTGGGCGAGACCCCGAACTTGCGCTGAGTCAGCGACGCGCACGCGTCAACGACGCAGCCACGAAACCCAATTCAAACTACCTGCCTGGGCCCGCGAATCTGCCGAGACAAATCTCTTATCCAAACGCCGCGGCCGGGCCTCGGGCGCGCCGAGACAACTTCCTCACAGACAATGCACCGCCGCCTGACCGCGACGCGGGACCGATCCCAGGCCGCGCGCGACGCCTCCCCCCGTCGGCTGAAAGGGACCGACGAGGCCCCCGATTGACTTGGAACTCGCGCCGATCAACACTGACGGAGCTTCAGATATCAGACTCGAGGCGGGAAGGACATTTTGAGGGCGGCTTCCAATAAATCACGCAGCTCCATAGAGTCGTAGAACGATCGGCCGCCAGATAGTCCGCGACCCACCTCGGCTTTCAAACAACGCCAGATCTCCTCCTAAACTGATCGAGGATGATCCCCTCGAACTCGACTTGCCACGCACAGCTGCACTCCACCCCTTCGCCATCTCACCCGACCAATCGCGCGCGCGGCGCCCCCGTGGTCAGCGGCCTGAGGCGCCCGAGGAACGCGGCCGAATCCACGACGCGGCCCCCGCTGGACTCTCGGGCAGAAGCCGACCCGAGAAGAGCAACCTCCCAAGACCCATCCTTCTCAGCCAGCAACAAGTGGCGCACCCGTTTAAATCGTTCCCCCAGGCGGCGGCGACGCGTCTGGAGATACCGACGTACTTGATTGGCTCCACGGCGAAATATCTCGCGCGGCAGCGCGTGCAACTGAACCCAACTGCAACTGGAATCATTCCTGCGCGGGGAGGCCCTCGATTTCGCTCACATACGAACTTATATAAGCAAAAACACCGTCGGCACAACGAGGGCCCGAGGGGGCCCGGGCACCGCGATGGCTCGGGGCAGCGCGTTCGACGGACGCGACCCACGAAGCGCAGGGCCCAAAAACTATCGCGAGCAGAAAACGTTCGAGCCGAACGGCTACGGAATCCAGCCGGGCAGGAGCAAGGGACTGACGAGACTCGCGGCCAAACTGAGTCCGATATCGTCGCCCCGGAGACGCTGAAGCCACGCCCACCCGCGGGCCCCTCAAACTCGGCCCCCCAGGCCGGCCCCCATCCGGGCGGGGTCTCGTCGGTCGGCCGGGGGCCAGCCGCAAGGCATCGAGCCGACGTCGAAGTCGCGGCCAACCAACTTCCACCCTCGTCTCCCGAACCACAGGACCGAGCCCCTGGAAACCTCTGCGCATGCGAAACCCTCGGCGCCAGCATCTACGACGGCAGGAGAGGAGCCTCCACCCCCTGGCGCCTCGGCCCGGGGACGCCCCCCCCGAGATTGACAGAATCTCCAAACAAGGACGCCTATCCACTGGCGCCCGGCGCCGCCGCTGCCCGCGCGCCCTCGACCGACCGCGCTTAGGGCCCACCGCGGGGGGCCGCAAACGGCTGGGGCACTTGCGGGAGCCCACCCAGGGCACCCACAACACGGAGGACGAGCTGCCCCCCGCCACCCCCGGGGACCACCTCGAGGCTGACGCGGGGCCCCCAGGGAACCGCGACACCATATATGATCGACTTGGAGAATGAACGGCCTAGTTGGCGCACTGCACGCGACGCAGTCAACCCGCGCCCCCGCTGCCAAGTTACATGCGTCAGCAATGTCCGCCCGAACGGTGGGCCCACCGATTCTCTGCGCAATGCTGAGGTAACAATCCCTGCGAACTCGCTGAAATCACGGACGACAGCCCACCGCAGCTGCACTGCATACAGGAAGCCAGCACGACGGCGAGCCCCTCCGACGTTAAGACCTCGCACGCCAAGACAAGAACGCGCATGAACTGTCGCGGGCATCATAGAGAATCCTCGACAGTGAACGACTTGCGCAACATGGCCATCCGTAGCTCGCTGCCTTGATGGCTGCCACGCGTTGCACTTGCAAGTGCCGACGTGACCGGAGACGCTCGCCTCCCTCGCCTGCGTGCAACTCCCGACCCGGCGAACTCCTCCAATCCTCACGCTGCATGGCAGCGATCGGAATCGCGCGAAATTTCCCCCCGTCGAGCTCGCTCTCGCCCCCCGCTTACAAAGCCCGACGACTCAATGAGAGTGAGTCTCAACCAGGGCGAAGAGGTCATACTGAGATTCGGCCTGGCCCACGAACGAGCAAGCCTCGCCCCCCGCACAAGACGCACTGGAATAATAAATCTGAGCGCGTTACTATCCTCACGTGTCCTGAGCCAGCGCCCGCGCATTGGCCCCGCGGCACAGTCACGGGCTGGGCCCCGCGTCGCCAGACCCACCCAGTTCGAAGTAAAGCCCGCGCAATCGCCCCTCCCAGGCCCGCCCTCCTTCGAACTCTGGAA